GCTGTCATATCACTGGACCAGAAAGTGTGGGATTGGGGTAGGGCAGTGGTCGGCAAACTCATAGTCAAAAGAGCCCAAAATCAGCAGCATGATGATTAGCATTATTTGGGGATCGAATTTCTGTTCAAGAACCGGCTTGTGGTCGGCTGGCCGAGCCGCACTAAGGTCGCTAAAGAGCCGCATGCCCCGATTTTCCAAGCCTTTGGGTAGGGGAAGGGCTTGAGATTTGTATGGCCTTCTAAATAAGTGTTTCCCAAAGTGTGGTTTGCCTACCCCTCGGAGTATGGGAAGAGTTTAGTGGGGGTACGCGATACAGAGGAAACAAAATAATTTTAATTTTATTGTTATTAAAGTATTTTAAATTTTTAATTTACGAGGGGTACTCAGTGTTACTAAAATTATAGACATAGATAGACACACATATGTCGAAAGTTTGGGAAACACTGCGCTATGCCAATGCTAGGAGAAGTGACAAACATGAAGTTGTGCTATTCATGAGGGGCATTTCGTCTGCGCTTTATGCATAGGTCGATATAATACATTTAAAGCACACACTTTAATTATGATTAAATTAGCTGATAGTTCTGTTGTACCAAGCGCAGTGGTTTGTGTTGGTAGCACCTGGCGTGGTCATCGACTTTTCCCGATCCAACTCATAAAAAACACAAAATACAAAGTCATCTCTTATATATATATATATATATATATATATATATATATATATATATATATATATATATTTCGCTTATGTTTTGTCTTCTCTCTGTTCCCCACCACCCTTTATTTCCCGATCCAACTCATAAAAAACACAAAATACAAAGTCATCTCTTATATATATATATATATATATATATATATATATATATATATATATATAAATACATTTCGCTTATGGGTTGACTGCTACCTGTTCCCAACCAGCCTTTTGCCTACTTAACATGTTTTAAATTAATAGTACTGAGTGAAAGAAAGCTGTCAGCAGCGAACGTCATGCGTGACGAATGAACTCAGGTAAAAAAGGTTTACTTTTTTCGGAGGCGACTATTACGTTAATCAATAAAGAGCCACGGGTATGGTGTGGGACTGTCTGTAGGCCTATTTTTAAAGGTTGGCAGGTAGGGTTTAGGACTGTCTGTAGGCCTATTGTTAAACGCCGGCAGGTAGGGTTTAGGACTGTCTGTAGTCTGTAGGCCTATTGTTAAATTGGATGGGCCCGTAAGTCTGTATTGTTAAAGGCCAGCATAGATTTTAGAAAATGAGACATTAACTTTTTTTTAATTGTAACACTTGGACCCACCGGGTATTTTCTCAAAAATAGCCATACTCTGTGCAAAAAAGTGGCCCCAGGTAAGCCCCAGTATCTAATTGTTAAGTGGACAGAAAATACCGCCCCCTCCCCGGAAAAAAAAATTGTTTTTAAAATATGGCGCTAGTTGAGCCCTCCTCATCCTTACGACCGTGTCTCTGTACTCTGTACACACTACGAGGTTATGGAAAAGGGAGAAAGTGTGTGTGGGGGGAGGGGTTGGGGGGGCCGTCTTCACTAGAACTTTGATCCCGATAAAAATCCCTTCGTCACGAGAGGCTTAGATAGTTTGTCATCGATACTTGTGTTTATCTATTGAATCAATTCCTAATTTTTCCCTTTTTTAAGTTCAATGCACGGATTCAGTGGTCGCCAATCCTGATCTCTCCCCCCCCCACCCCCTTCCCCTTTAAACGTCGCAATGAGAATTCGGGGGGCTTTCGAGAAAGGGGGTGGACAAAAGTCGTGTCCTCACTCACCATTTGAGAATTTGTATAAATAGATAGATAAATATACATAAACCAGATTGACATAAAAAAATAAACGGCTTACTGTACAGTAGACGCTTTAGTGTTGGAGAAACTTCTGGTGCCGGACGCATTCACTGATGAGATGTCCTTGAACGTGTCGGCTACTGTACAGTAGGCGTTTTACTGTTGGAGTAACTTCTGGTGCCAGTTGCATTCACTGATAAGTTGTCCTTCAACGTGTCGGCTTAATCCTTAAATCTCACTGGCGTTTAAAGTTCTGGTATGCACTGCTGTTCAAAAGGTAATCCAAATGGTTTCCAGAATTTCAGAGCTGTTTACTGGTTGTCACAGCTGTTTATGGGTTTTCACCGCTTTGTATAGGGTGTTACAGATGTTTATTGGTTGTCACAGATGTTTATAATTTGGAACATCTGTTTATTGGTTGTCACATGCAGCTGTGTATAGGTTGTTAGAGATGTTTATTGGTTAACTCAGATGTTTATTGGTTGTCACAGCGCTTTATAGTTTTCCAACATCTGTTCATTGGTTGTCACAGCTGTATACAGGTTGTCACAGCTGTTTTCAGTTCATCGCAGCTGTTTGTGGCTGCCACTTCAGTTCCATACGCTGTCATGAAACTGTTTCGAGCAGTTTGTCAAGGGTGCGTGCAGAAAATAACAGCTGTGTCACTGCACTTCAGCTATAGCAGGCTGTACCTTCCGTTTGACTGAAGACAAAAAAAACAGCTACTAATATTTAGTGAAAGCTGTTTTAAAAAGGTGACACGCAGGATGCTGAAGGCTGACACATAACCGGTTCAAGGGTACCGGTATCTCCTTACGTTTGCTAATGTCACGCCACAAAAGAGCAGTTATTCTTTACGCATAACATTTTAAAATATTTAAACTTATATAATACCTAGCATGAAGATGATTTAGTCACACGCACACACACACACTCTTGACTACTCATTTCCACCTAAACTCAGTTAGTCATCCAGGCTCTTTTTGGATTCAGCTGTCCTGATTATATCATTTGGCGTGTAGAACTTTTCATATTACTTCTCATGTATTTATAGACCACAGCACACTTGAGAAAAAGGGGAGGGGGTGTATATTCTCATGTCTTAGTATGAATGTACCGGTATTGGAAGTGAACGCCCTTGCACCAGTGACTACAGTGCATACTACTTACGTCACTAATAGTTTAGTGATCGCTGGACAAACTTCACTCCAGGGGATCGCCGTACCGCGGCCCTACGCTTCAGATAACCGAGAGAAGAGATCGGCCCGCGAAGCCTTTTGGGGCGGCCACCCGTGCTCTACGTAATGTTTAGAACATATGTGCCCATACCACCAGCTGAGAGCCCTTGACTATGAGTTTATTTCCCATGCCCATGCTATTTATAAATCGCCTGTGATAAATAAAAATGTATAATGTTTATTTTAACACCATTTTTTTTTATATAAATGAAAAGATCAGATGAAATTACAAATTTAACATTTTAAAATGTAACACTGTAATAGTAAACTGAATGTACGTGATTGAAAAATATACGCTTAATTCCAGTTAGTCTTCTTTTATTATTACACTGTATTATTTATTGTCATTGTTTGTTTCTGATCTTGAACCTGGTTCACACCACTGCGTTGAGCTGCTTCTAAGCCAAGGTTTGCATGACATGTACCACTTCAAGCTGTCGATGGTTTCACTCATAGAGTCCATTGTCAAGATTGGTCCAGGCACGTGCTGTGAACTGTGGGTGAAGAAAGACGAGCCACCTGCTCATTCATCTTAAACTTATCACCGACCACGACTACTTTTTCTCGTGGTCCACCCTGAATATATATATATATATATATTTACAAAAGGCTCCATATTGACTTGCTCATTGAAATGTGCAGTGCTAATTTTGCCAAAAAATGTGACTGTAGTTATATGATTATACATGTTTATTTTTCTGTAACTTTAAGTTTTATTCTTCTCCAATTGAAAGGAGTTTCTAAAGTAGGAAGTGTTCGCTTGCTAGACAAACTATCTGTAACGTATCTGTACACCCACGAAACGCTTTATACACAATTTAGTTTCTACAAGCTTTCACTAAATAATCTACACATCTTTAAAAGTTCAACTCACCCATACATGCTCTACACACCTCTAAAAGTTTTACGACCCCAAAAGTTCAACCCACCCGTAAATGTTCTAAAAACAGGTAAATGCTCTACACCCCTCTAAATAATCTACACATCTTTAAAAGTTGAACACCCCATAATGGTCTACACATCACAAAATGTTCTTAGGCACATATAACTGCTCTAAAAAAAAAACTTCTAAAAAGTTCAGCGCATCACTAAATGTGCTACACATCACTAAATGTGCTACACATCACTAAATGTGCTACACATCACTAAATGTGCTACACATCACTAAATGTGCTACACATCACTAAATGTGTTACACATCACTAAATGTGCTACACATCACTAAATGTGCTACACATCCCTAAATGTGCTACACATCACTAAATGTGCTACACATCACTAAATGTGATACACATCACTAAATGTGCTACACATCACTAAATGTGATACACATCACTAAATGTGCTACACATCACTAAATGTGCTACACATCACTAAATGTGCTACACATCACTAAATGTGCTACACATCACTAAATGTGCTACACACAACTTCCTACACATCCCTAAACGTTGGACACACCCTTCAGTTTTCGAGACATCTACAAGAGCTCTACCGCATCTACGGCATGCCATACACGAATCAAGAAGGAAAAAGTCAATGTAAAACAAAATAAACTATTTTTTTTTAATTGTCATCGTAATTGTAATCCCTCTGTTTCACACACAGAAGAAAACCATTAAACTCGAACAACAGAAAGAATGGATCCATTCAGGAATAAATACAGGCTAGCATCTCGTCTTCTCATACTTGACTACACAAATTTGCCGATCATCCTTAAGTCACGGGTTCCCAACCCCCCAACTGAGACCCCGAGTTGTCTTATTTATACCGTAGGGTCTCTGTCTGATTCTAAAAAAAAAAAAGTGTCATTTAAAACTTAAAAAAAAAAAAAAAAGTTTCTCATTCATTCCATGTCTTCAATTTCATTGATTACTTTTCAAGGTTCCCAACCCCCCAACTGAGACCCCGAGTTGTCTTATTTATACCGTAGGGTCTTTGGCTGATTCTAAAAAAAAAAAAGTGTCATTTAAAACTTAAAAAAAAAAAAAAAGTTTCTCATTCATTCCATGTCTTCAATTTCATTGATTACTTTTCAAATACTCCCGATTGAATCCCATAATGGAACTGAGGCTTGATGTTTTTCTTTTCTTCAAGGCTTTCTCATTTGAAGATAAAAGCAAGAAACAAAAGTAAGTGTTGGGGGAAAACACAATGTTACCGTTAACCACTTGTTAACGAGATACAATTTCAGCCATAGCATAAATCACGGTATAAAATGAGTTCAAACTAAGGTGAATTATAAAAAAAAAAAAAAAAAAAATAAAAATTAATTTGTTGGTGTTTTTTCTTTGGCCTTATTAAATTTTTTTTTTTTTTTTTTTTAAAATGGGGCCACAAGTCACTTTGGTGCGAGGAATGGGGCACAACTCAGTAAAGGTCGGGAACACCGTGTCTAAGACGTGGAGCAGTATACCCGTAACATAGGAACAATAATATTCAATGCAATATAAATAACATCATTTGATGCCCAGCTCACATTATAGTAACATTTAGAGTTTCTTATCGACGGTTACCGTACACTGCTGCTTCCAGAATAATATGGAAATAGAAACGAATCACTAATGCCTTTAGCACAGTGTCGACTCTAGGTATTATCCAATTACTACATCCTTGGCCCATTAAAAGGAGGCGGATCACATAGTTGGGCTTTTCCATGATAGGTTTAGCCCCTGTATTTATTCATTACAAGATAAAGTCCTTACACAGAGGTTGATGAATCCATTACAGAGAAGCGGGCTCTACCGCTAGCGAAATGTGGATCTGTCCACTACCTACAAAGAAGTGGATCTATTCATTACAAACAAGTGGATATGTCCATTACGGGGAAGTGAATCGGTCCGTTTCAAGAGAAGTGGATTAATCTAGTACAGAGGAGTGGGTTAGTCAAATGAAGAGCAGTAGATTAGTGCAGCGGTTCTTAACCTGTGGGTCACGACCCCTTTTCGGGTCGAGCGACCCTCTCCCAGGGGTCGCCTTAGACCAGCGGAAACACATATACTTTACAGTTATAAGGTGTCAACCAAAATAATTTTGTGGTTTGGGGGGGGGGGGGCCACCATGGAAACACATATACTTTACAGTTATAAGGTGGCAACCAAAATAATTTTGTGGTTTGGGGGGGGGGGGGTCACCATAACATGAGGAACTTATTATAGGGTCGCGGCATTAGGAAGGTTGAGAACCACTGGATTAGTGGTACAGAGAAATGGACCAGTCTATAACAGAGAAGTGGACTAGTCCAGCATCGAGAAGATAATAAATCTATTACAGAGATGAGGATTAGTTTATTAAAAGGAAGTGTACTATACATATATATTAATTTATCTTAAAAATAGTCCATTACAGGGATTTGACCTATGCTATTACATTATTCTTCTATTATAGTTGTCATTATTACATAGCTTTTTTTCTAAACGTAGCCAGCTTTTTTTTCATTCACACGTCAGCTTTTTTTTTCATTCACACGTCAGCTTTTTTTTTTTTCCCCACACGTCAAAACGTCCTCATCTAACTAAGGAAGGTATCCACTGTAGCCAACACGTTCTTACTGCACAACCCACACACGTATATCGGCCCTGCGCATTCTCGGCAGGTGGTGAAGTGGCCGCACGGTAAGAACGTGATGTTCCGCGGACTCTTCCTGCAGACGGTGCACAGCCGGTAGCTCTCCAGGATCTTGTTTTCCCCGGTCACGGCGTACAGACATTCCCTGATGTGCTCGGTTTTCTTCCTCTCGTCCTGGAGCTCCTCGCTCTCCCTGGGTTTCGCCATCGAAGAGTCCCTGACGAATGTGCCCGTGTTATAAGTCACATCGGCACCAGTTTTGGGTGGTTGTGGCCTGCTCGTTGTGAATCCACGTTTCGGTGCTGCGTTATCCACCTCGTCCTCATAGAGGACCGCCCCATCCACCGCATCCACTCCACACCCGGAGCTCAGTGACGAATTCTCCCGCTGTGGGTTGTTTCTCTTCACCCTGTCTGTTGGACTTGGGGTGCCTTTAACAGCGGTGGCACCGCCGGCAGCGCAATCTGCGGTCACGAGGCTGCTGGCCCCCTCACGAATTCTGTTGCTTTCTGTGAGAATGTACTGGGGACTGTTCAAAGGCTGTGTCACACTATTCCGTTGGTTTTGTCCTGGCGTTGCTGTGGCCGCACTCTCGCCTGTTGCTGAACCAGGCGTAGCGATATCAGCTACCGGTAAACGACTGGCGCTCCTGAAAGACGTGGCGGAGCTATTCACCTGCGGGGCAGGGGTCTTCCTTTCCGTGAGGTCGGAAAAAGTTTTCGAGAAGGTCTGGGCGTTAAGTTTTTTCATGAAGCTGTCCGTGAAGAGTGCCGCGCGGCGCTCCACCTCTGCGTACAGGTTGGCTGACGTCACCGATTTCCCGTCGCGCTCCAGCTGACCGGCGACGTACAGAACAAACCGTTCATGGTAGCCGTCCTCCATTTGGAGAACTGCAACCAATGCCAGACGATGACGCTGCATGAGGCTCCAGAGGGACTCGCCATCCTGTGAGATTATGGTCTGGAGGAGGCTCTCTTCCTCCGGTGACAGCTGGCTCTCCGATCGGCGTCGTATCCTCGAGGCCATGCTGTTATGACAAGATGGCGGCGAGTGCTGGTTTTTATTTTTTTTAAACCTCTAATATATAAGCTGCTTGAGAGTTTCTTCCACTTAACTTACTTCCACTTTTCAAGAGATGATCCTGTAAAAAAAAAATACATTCTTAGAATTTAAAAATGCATCATAATTAAAAAACAAAAAACAAAAAAAAACCAACTATTTCAATAAGTAATTGAGATAAAATGTCAATTGGACAGTTAACAGTGTTATTGATATTTTAGACTCAAACGGAGCCCAAAGCAGATAAAACCATTGTTATGTAGGACGTGTTTACGTCACACTTTCTCCGTGCCGTGAACTCTGTTTGACCCCAAGTTCAACTGCGTTCGGATTGGGCGTGGCCTATTTTCTTTGAACTTGACCTTGTGTACTTCCCTTACCGACTAAAAATAAGTAATATGTTCTAATAGAATATTTGGGAAAGTTCGCGAGTGGACAAGAAAAGTAGAAAATGTCTAAGTTGTTTCTGGAAAGCGTCTTACGATGCATATATTTAAGGGGTTCAGAGAACATTGAGGGACGCAGATTCAGATAGATATTTTGTTCACTTCACGAGACAAGTACATTATTCTGTGTGTACTCATATATGTTTATTCGCATTCATCACTGTACCTTATTTTTGGCACATTTGTACTAACTGTGTACCGGTACAAGACTTCTCATACCCTGTAAGTTGATGTTTGTAATTATATTTCTTTTGTTTTGTAATTATATCAATACTAAAATAAATCTCATTAATTGTAATTAGTACCGTTTTGAGTGGCGTATTTTTGCAATTGTATTTCTCTATGGTATCGTCCTTTGATAGGCACTGTTTTGAACGAGCCAATAACTTAAACTAAGATAATAATTTCTCTTTATAGAAGGCAGTGCGTAACACCATGCATGCATTTAATACAAATGTTATGCAGTCATAACATATTAACACCTTAATTAAGCTCTTGCTATTAACAATACACATCGCCGCTGGTCTGAATGTAGGGCCATGTTTCATGTTTGCTTCTCCCACTTCCAAGTAACGGAGCCCCTGCCGATGTTGAACTAAATCGGTGAGCGGACACTTCAAGACACTTCGGGAAACGAGTTTGGAAGAGATACTCTAGCATGATTTAGTTGCGTTTAGCAGAAAAGTGGCTTCAACGTTAGTTGCCCCTTGATGCACAGAGAAAGCTGTGCGGCTGAAATCCTCGGGACCAAACCAAAAGTGGTGCCATTGCCAAAGATGGTGCTATTCCCATGTTCAGCCAGGATGATGCTCATGCACAATAATTTGAAAGAATAAGACAAATGCTCATCGAAAATTTGAAGAAACGTCACAAAAAGTGGATGCATTCACATATTACATGTATTAAATAACAACCACAGAGCAATTACAAAACACGTTTTATTTTTAAAAAAAATCGTGCTCTATCCTTCTGTATGCGGTTCATTTATTTCCACACGTACACGTCCATCACTTGACCAGTCTTTCGTGACCACCAGTACCTAAAGTACATCTACGTCAGCACAGTCAGCATAGCCGCCATTTTGATCGCCTTGCTTTCCTTAACCGTCGGCAAAACTTACGCACCGATTCCCAGGGTCAGGGTCACGCGATCCAATGTTCGCCACATTTCTTTTTCAATGCACAATATAGTAAAACAAAATAATGCGTTCAGAACGAAATGTGACCAAAATGTGGGTGTCGTGTGGAAAAAAAGAAACCCGCCTTGCGGTAGCGGACTGATGAGCTTAACAAAATAGCTACATCTCATTTCAGTCAACACTTGACGTAAGTCAGCGCCGGAATGGTGCATGTTGTTCGCAGGGAAATACATGAATTTGTCCCTTAGATACTCTTGCACAATTTGCAGTTGAAAATATTGGCCCTAATTCGATTTTGTGTGTGTGTGTTTTTTTTTTAATTTTTTTTTTTTATTGTTTGTTAAAAAATAGATCCGTGCATTTTCTAGGAACATCGCTCAATCAACGTTCGCTATTCACAGGATACACTGTAAATAAATTGTGTTTCTTTTAGTAAGTATCAGGTTACACCATTCGCTGGGCATTGATGTAGTTTTTGATTAGTTTAGTTTCCCTCAATATCAGGCTGCACAAGAAACCTTTACTGTCGAAACTGTGAAAAGGTATCACTAACTACAACGAGAAGTGCTACTGCTAGTGTTACCTGTCATAGCCGCATCAACGTTCTTGGTGATTTTATGGTGGCCAACGGCATCGAAGAAAACCAACTGATCTTGGTATTTTTTGCATTTGTGTGTTGGTCAGGCAGCAGAGATTTGGTCCAACATAACAATTTGAGCAACAAGCAGAGAGTTGGTCCTACAGGACAACGTGAGCAACGAAGCATAGACTTGTTCCTACAGGACAACATGAGCAACACAGCATAGACTTGTTCCTACAGGACAATATGAGCAATAAAGTATAGACTTGGGCCTACAGGAAAATATTAGCAACACAGCATAGAGTTGATCCTACAGGACAATATGAGCAATAAAGCAGAGACGTGGGCCTACAGGACAATATGAGCAACACAGCAGAGAAGTTGAGCAAGATTTAAATAAAGTCACATTGGCAAATGCATGCAGAACAAAACACCATTAGAAGTGCTGGAGAAGTGCTCACGATTAAGGTGGTGCAGTCAATGCACCTCGGAAGCCACCAAGTTATTGTGACACACACCCGAGTCCGAACACAATTTGCTTGAGATTACAAGTTCTCTACTGTTCCCTTTACACCAGCGTTCTCAACTTGTGGGTCGCGACCCAAAGTCGAATGACCCTTTCCCAGGGGTCGCCGAAGACCATCGGAAAACAAGTATACTTTGCAGAGTAGCGACGACAATAATTTTGTGGTTGGGGGTCGCCACAACATGAGGAAATGTATTAAAGGGTCGCAGCACTAGAAAGGTTGAGAGCCACTGCTTTACACGGTGATATACCGAAGCAGGCTAAGTTAATCTAACACAACAGGTCAGGTTAATCTACCATAACAGGTTAAGGTATTACGTTTATTTGCCATAGCAGATTAGATTAGCTGAATCCACCAGAGCATGTTAAGTTAATCTAACAAAGCAAGTTAAGTTATTAAGTTAATATAAGATAAAAGGTTAAGTTATTAAGTTAATTTGCCAAGCAGGTTAATTTACTCTACCACAGCAGGTTAAGTTAATCTAACAATGCAAGTTGAGTTATTAAGTTAATCCAACAACAGCAGGTTAGGTAAAATCTACCACAGCAGGTTATATTAATACGGGGAAAACCCGTACCTATTATTTTAAAAACCCAACAACAACAGATGGGGCACCAGCGATGCTAAAGATGGAATCGGGCTTTCAGACAAACATTAACAGCCGCCCAGGCCCAGGCACGATACATTACCGGCATCACAGCTTTCCAAACTTGAAACTGGGCATGCGGGTGATATGTGTTTTAGACATATTTTTTTTTTTAATCATCAGATGAATGAGAGACAAAAAATGCGTGAGGGTTAAACAATACAACCCTCTCGTCAGCACTGTCTTCGCTGGCGAACCGCTGGGTATATTTACACAATCGTAAGAGATATGGACACGTGCATTGTTTTCGTTTATGCTTACGTTAACTAGAATATGCAAGCATTTTGTCTTGAATTAAAGAGCAGAAATTTCTTATATTATATGGATTCACAGGTTTTCTGTTATGGTTTTTGCTACACGGACGCATACTGCAGCTGACACTCCTACAGACTGCAGCTGACACACCTACACACTGCATCTGACACACCGTACACGCCTACACACTGCAGCTGACGCACCTGTAGATGACACACCTAAAGACTGTAGATGACACACCTAAAGACTGCAGCTGACACACCTACAGAGTGGTACACAATGGGCCCATCTGATTAAGTAAACATAACTTCCTCGAGCCATGCTGCTCCATCAAAGTTCTCATGTTTTTTAACATACGGGTGCGTTCAATATTTTATTGACCTGTTTGAATATGTATTAAATTTATTTTAATTTTAATGTTTGAAAATCTCTGACTTTTGCCACAGATGATTGTGTCAAACTAGCAAACCCAGGCAATATATGTAGAGAATTTTGTGTTTAAAAATAAAAATCAAATTTTGTGATTTTCCAAGACTTAAAACCAAAATTGGAAGATTATTTAGAGTTAGGGGCAATTTTATAATTGTATTCAACATTTTATTTTGCGGCTATGTAAACTTGTGAATTTGATTAATACTGAAATCAGCATAACTAATATTTTGATTATTTTGATTTTCATGGAAATTCTAAGATGCTGTTAACATTCTTCATGGCCTAGGACAGTGGTCCTCAAACTTAATGACGGGCAGCATTTTCGTCTTCCCCCACCTTCATTTTTATTAAAATGTAATAGGCATACTATAATTTGCCTAAACATAAATATTACACAAATTGCACTGTACAGAGTATTTAAAAAATATATTTATTTATTTAGGCATTTTTATATAGCGCTTACCTTAAAGCTCTAAGCGCTTTACAATTATTTAAAACATGTGAACTAAGTAAAATAAAAATGAAAAACCAGAGACACTAGGATAGTAACTACTATACTATACATACAATTAAAATATCACCCCTTACCCTCGACCCCCCCTTTTGGATAGAGCTGCAATATATTTTAAAAAACAACAACTATATAGCTTTTTATTTCATCAATAGTAAGCATTTATTCAATTGTGTAATTACTATGAGCATTTAAGTTTACATCAGTTTTAAGTATTCCTTCTCTTGAGTAAATTTTTATAGTAGTTAAGATTACATCAGTTTTAAGCATTCATTCTCTTGTGTAAATTTTTATAGCACTTAAGATTACATCGGTTGTAACCATTCATTTTATTTATTTACTTAGGCATTTTTTTATAGCGCTTACCTTACAGCTCTAAGCGCTTTACAATTATTATTGTGTACATTTTTATAGCACTTAAGATTACATCACTTGTAACCATTCATTCACTTGTGTAATTATTTATAGCACTTAAGACTACATCAGTTGTAATCATTCTTTCAAATGGGCTACATGTATTATGTCTACTCCTAAATTACTTAAGTCAATCATTTTATTGCCCTACATAATTCAAACAATGAGTTGTGTATTTGGTTTAAAAAAAAACAAAAAAAAAACAGAATGATAATGTAGGCCTATAAATTTTTGTGTATGTGTATTTAATGGTTATTCGTGTAAGAACTGTTAGAAAAGTTAGTGTAAATTTAAGAAGACAACATGAATGATGAGTATTGCCATTGCAATGGAAATAATGTGATATTCTCACTCAGGTTTTGAAGGGTGAAATAATTTAATGTACTCACTTGTTATTTTATATTTTTTGATTGTCAGATCCTGTCCAATTCCATGGAATGTACAATACTTCTGAAGTTTTTTAAAATACTGACATTCATTTTCTTTGCCTTGTTTTCACTATTTCCATGCCTAGAGATAGATGAAGTTATTGAGATAAAGATTATAGGTGAAAACATCAAGATGACACAGCAGCATTGAACATCAATATGACAAAGCAGAACTAGACATCAAAATGAAATAGCAGCACTCAACATCAAGATGACATTGTAGCATTATGCACTTAAACAGCCAAATCATTGACTTAAATTGAGAAAATGATGCCGTTTTTCACATTTCAATGTGAAGAATAAATAAGCATGTTTTAATGCTTAAATCATTTTACAAATTTTTATTTTAAATAAAACTGAGAGAGATGTCAGCATTTAGCATACAATATTATTACATATTTTAAATTGGCAATCTGTATTTGTTAGTAAATAATTTCTATCATCAATAAATCAGTACTGTCAGGGTGTTGGATTAAGTTATACAATTTAAAAAAAACAAAACAAAAACAAAAAACCAAACAATTTATGCCATCTTATTTTCTAAATAAGAATCCTTCTGGTTATTCCAATAGCCAGCTACATTATAGTCTTAAATGTAGTCAGTAGTGATTTAATTTTAATTTAAATGATATGTTTAGGCTACTATTTCATTTTTCATCTTTTTGACATAAAAAATGCTTGCCTTGTCACTAGGAATAGGTGTAAGAGATAATATCACATGCAATGTAGATGAGAGGCCAAACAGCATGGATGACTGAATGAGAAAGTTTATATTTATATCACGGTAAGCAGAATCTCTTAGACCAGTTGGCAATAGAAATGGAATCCCAACCTTCTCATAGTCATACTGACAGAATTCTGCATCATACTCGTACATTTACAGTGAGGGTACTTCAATTTTAATACTAATACACTACAAAAATTATCATTACTGCTATTCTATGTCTATGCAGTTATATCCCGTTTAATAAATACAACTGCTTCGTAGATACCATGAATTCTTTGACAATTTTTGCATTAGTTGTATCTTGTTTCTACAGCAACACGGTATTATAGGCCTACATGATGTCAGACGATGTGCTAACAACCACAAAGTTAACAGAATGCCAATACTCAATGCATCGAACATACATGGAAATTGGAAAAAGTGAGAAACAATGGCACACACAGACATATGCTCGATTCTTATGTGTGGTTTCATTTTGCGTTGACGTGTTAAAGCAAATGGTTTGAATGTATTAAACCCCATTGACCCCATTCTAGAGGATATACTATTATACTGTTCAAATTTGGACACTACAGTAGCGGAGGACTTTAAAATATTAAAAGAAGCAAAAATGTTTTAATGCAAAAGAACATTTGTTTTATTGGAAGTGTGAAGTGTTTTAATGTAAATAATGCACAATGTGCAATAATTTTCACGTTGAATTAAACGTTTTTGTTCAAAAGAACATTTGTCAAAATGGACCCGGACACGCATCGCCGCTATTCGGCCCCAGGTCCCATTATCATTAGGCCTAGACTAAATGAACTAAATGCTATTCAATTCGGATGTTATTTGTGGTAGTTTGTTTAAATTAAACTGAAGAATTAGGTTTACAAACATACTATGATAGTATAGTATATAAGTTAAGTATAACAGTGTAGTAGAATTAGGCCTATTTTAAATTTTATATAACATTTTAATTTTTAATTAGATAAGAAAATTAAATTTAAGTTTTAAGTTAAGTAGTAAAGTAGGCCTACATTCGGATGTTAATCACTGAGAAAGTTATGTACATATTTTAAATAATTACTTTAGAAATCTTTTAAACCAACCCTGATATTACTAATAAGTTAACGTTATTTATATTTACCAACAAACTCAATCCTAGCATGTTCTTCAAGATGGCTGTGTTTCGTGATCCACAGCAGTGCGAATGATCCGTGTGGATAAAATGAATTCCCGCACTGATAATTAGGTCATTGTCGGGTTTCCCATTGTGTGAAGTCATCGGGATTTCCAAATTTCTGACATGATTCTATTTATAAAAATTCCCGGACGGATATTATGTACTACGTAACTCCATTCATGGCTACTTTCAGCACACCTCCGGTCCCCGGAGCAAGTCAAAAGTAAAAAATGCGAACAATAACATATAAAATTTTGTAAATAAAAAACTACTAAATTCTAATTTGTATAACATTTTTGAAAGTATTAGAAATGATTGTGTGCCTTTCATCGATTTGAAGCGATAGCGCCAAAATTATGGAACAGTTTGCCTCAATCTTTTAGGGCAGGGGAATTGTAAATCATAGTAAATGATAAAAAATCATTTAAGAAAAAAACTTTTTTGTTTAAATAGATTTCGGAGGTTCCGAGCGCAGTGCGCATGCTAAAATGGCATGGATACCGGCGCGATATAAATATCAAACCAATCAATCGATTACAATAAATGGAACTAATAAACTATCGCTTTGCTCGATGTATATATTGATAATCCATATTATCTTTATCAAAATTGTTCAGGTTAGGCTTACATTTACATAATTCGATGATAAATATCGTAATGTTTTGAAAATTGGCCGCTCCTGATCATAAGCCAAAATTAACTTTTTGTTGTTCAATGTATCGGTGTTATTACTTATTTATAATTTGCAGCTTCACGAGTTGAAAGACTTTAAAATAAAACCATATGAAAGTCAAAGTTAAAGGTCTACAAATTCAGTGTTTCTTTCAGGCATCTATACGGGGTTGGAGGTCACTGCGCTCATCGGAGCCAATCAAATGCCCCCGGATCCAAATGTGTGCGGTAACAGCATTAGGAAAATTTATTTTATCAAAATGAACTTCGGTAAATTGTTTTAAAAACCATTTTAGGCCTACCTGGAGCCTTTAATCGATTACTACTACTGGAATCTAGAAAATATCGCTACACTCGATGTTATTGATGATTCGTACATCTAAGGCTAATCTTGTTAGAGGCTTACAGTATTCGCTTATAAAATATCTTACTGGCCTCTCCAGATTTCTTCCTGTTGTTCGCATATATCGGTATTTTTACTAATATATTTTTTGCAACTTCACAAGTTTAAAGACTTTATTAATAATGCTATATGAAATATCTTTACATCAATTTAATGGTCTAAAATTTTGATATTAGTCCTAGCCAAGTTACAAACATGATTTTATGGTAAAAGCATGACTTTTAAATAGAGACCGACCGAAAGTGATTTTCTGATTTCGGCCGAAATCGAAAATAGGCCGAAAGTTTAAAAATGACTTTCGGCCGAAACCGAAAAAAGGCCGAAAGTTAAAAAAGACTTTCGGCTGAAACCGAAGCCGAAACCGAAAATGAAATATTTAGATATTTTGAAATTCGTTCCCGCATACATTCTGCATACATCGAAAATGATGGGGAAAGTATAAATATGTACATTCTTTTTATAAAAAATGAGATACTCGTGAATATTAATAAATCAACATCTAATGTAACATCTTGTTGTTTAAGATCGTTTAGTTTGTTCGTAAAGATCGGTTAGTTTCTTGTTAAAGATCGTTAAGTTTTTTGTTAATGATTGCTTTATTTGTTCATAAAGATCTGTTAGTTTGTTCATAAAGATCGCTTAGTTTGTTGTTAAAAATCGTTTATTTTGTTTTTTAAGATCGCTAAGTTTTTTTTTATTAAAGATCGCTTACTTTGTGTTATTAAAAGATCGTTTAGTTTGTTCATAAAGATCGCTAAGTTTGTTCCTAAAGATCATTGATTTTGTTCTTAAATATCTCTTACTTGTTCTTAAAGATCATTCAGTTTGTTCTTAACGATCATTTAGTTTGTCTGTATAGATCTTTTAGTTTGTTATTAAAAATCGTTTAGTTTGTTCTTAAAGATCGCTTATTTTGTTGTTGAAGATCGCTTAGCTTTTTCATAAAAATTTGATCGTTTAGTTTGTTCTGATAGATAATTATTTTGTTCCTTAAGATCGATTAGTTTGTTCTTAAAGATCGTTTAGTTTTTTTCCTAAAGAGCATATGGTTTTCTGTTATAGATGGCTTAGTTTATTCTTATAAATCATTTAGTTTACTATTAAAGATAATTTGTTTTGTTCTTAAAGATCATTTTGTTCGTTCTTAAAAATCGCTTAGTTTGTTGTTTAAGATGATTTAGTTCTTTTTTTATTAAAGATCGCTTAGATTGTTCTTAAAGATCGCTTAGGTTGTTTTAAAGATCGTTTAGTTTGTTCTTAAATGTCGCTTAGTTTTTTGTTAAATATCGTTTAGTTTGTTCTCAAAGATCTCTGAATTTGTTCTTAAAGATCACTTTATTTGTTGTTAAAGATCACTTTATTTGTTTTTAAAGATCGTTTAGTTTATTCTTAAAGATTGCTTAATTTGTTCTTAAAGATCGTTTAGTTTGTTCTTAAAGGTCGCTTAGTTTGTTGTTAGATATCGCTTTTGCTGAGAATTAGATGACCGAAAACCTCAGTCACTCTCGGCCGAAACCGAAAAAACCCCGAAAGTTAACTTTTCTCTTTTGGCCGAAGCCGAAATTAAGCCGAAAGTTAACTTTCAGTTTTGGCCGAAACAGAAACTTGGCCGAAAGTGATAAAATGGCAACATTCGGCACCGAATCCGAAGCCGAAGCCAAAATTCGGTTGGTCTCTACATTTAAAGTTGGAATAAGTGGTTATTATAAAATTGTATGATGGCATTGGGCTTAAAAAAAAAGTATCGTTATTAGCATACTTTTAAATGTACTCGATTCCATTTAATTATGTTTAGCTAGATAAAAGGAAAACTTGAAAAATTAATATATTTTTAAAAAAGAAGTTTACAGGTACTTACAATTAATGCACGTTTCAGTCAATCATTAACGTTTGTGTGAAAACGTTTGTGTTTTCTTTGAATGAGCTACTTTTGTAACAAAGTTCCTGAATTACAGAGTTTTAAAAAAATACTCAGCATGTGTTTATTAATTCCCAACTTCTTGTCTCTTTATAATATCAGAATAATAAACAAAGTGCTCCACCTATTCTTTTAAATGTTAAATTAATATTTTTTGGTAGATCAGAGTCGAGCAGAAAGCTATTTTAAAAAAAAGAAATTGTGAACTAGCATTTCGATTGTCACGCCATTCATTTTTTTTTTTTTTTTTAGCTCTAGTTTTTGAAAAATTGTTTATCGCCATATCGTAAAATTACAATATATTACCTGGATTTGGTAAACAAATATTTTAAAGGATATCGAAAAGGCAATTTTAATTTATTTGAAAAAAATTATTGTAATTTGAAATTACAAATAAAAATTTACATCAACTGAATATTTTGAAACTTTATTTTATTTTTATACGATTTCCCTCAGATAAAAATATAATGTGTTTTGTAAACAACTCATGTCTTCTTAACTTAATTATGCCATTCATATACTATTTATAAAATGAAAAGTTTTCGAAAAAATAATAATGTATAGACTTTCTAATAATCAGTTTTGTTTTGTTCTTTGTTCTTTTATAATCTGGTAAAACTTTGAAATATTTAGAAAAGCTAATAATTTTTTTTTTTAATTTGTGTCCAACGTGTTAAATGATGTTTGCTGTGCTTTTTGGTGATGGAAACCTTTATTTATCAATTAAGTAGATATCTCCCTTAATGATGTCAAAAATATAACCACATTACTATAATTTGGTAACAAAAATATTCGCATAACACAAGCAGAGCGTTGCACAACTTTTTGAGGTTCTGCAACTTTTCGGGTTTGACCCCCACTTTGTATTGAAAATAATAATTGAGAATATGTCCTCTTACCATCTTTAAGCCTCTAAAATATCAAAGGCCCCCTGCAGTCTTAGGGGCTTCTGGTCTTTTAAGAAGGTTCTTAGGTTAGGTGACACCTATTTTTTTTTTTAAAATAAGCATCTTCTCCATTTCTCTCCATTTAATTGAAGAATGTTGAAAAAAACTAAATTCAGAAATAGGCTAAAGTTCATACTTGTATTTTGAATTGATCAAAAAATTGCTGTGGAATGTAAATATATAATGGATGAGAAAAAGCCATGGTAAAAAGCATACCCTGAAGGGTGACACAACTGGAAGGAATATAGTTAATGTCCTGCTAATGCGGATTTAGAGACGTCTTTGATCAAATTCGTCATATTTATTGACAATGAATTATTTTTAGAAATTAGGTTATTATGTAAAGCAACTTTTATGTAATTGGAGCTAGCATATAATTTTAAAAGAATATAATATATACAATTTTTAAAATTATTAATATTCTTTGATTTGCTGGCATCCGTCCGTCACATGTAGCGATGATGTGGGTTTTGGAGGACGAAATCCACAATTCTTCAAGGATTAGCAGCTGGTTCCCAAACAGCAAATCGCCTCTCTCCACGCCTCTGGATAACCCAAAGGAACATCATTGGATGATACAGCTTATTACAGCTGGTCACGTTGGAATGTTTCATTGTATCAATGTTCTCCGCCTTTCGGGACTCCATCTCCGGGTTTAATTTCAGAGTTTCCTTCTCTTAGATGAGTTGCCATCCAAGGTTAATCCCATCCACCAAGGCACTGACTGGAATTGAACTCCAGACCACCAGCTAAACCAAAGTTGTGACCACTCGGCCACCCAGCACCTATATATATATATATATAAATATAATATATACTAGCCAATAAACCTGGCGTCCATATTGAAATACCAGTGGATTAAAAGTAACAATATCAACTCCATTCGGGGTCGATCTAGTTTTTTCGCAAAAAATTCGATCATCTAAAAGATTAACTCTCCTGTAACTCCCACCCAAATTTATTGGAAAAAAAATGTACATTTTAATTACATTATTCATCTTAATGATTGATATAGGATCCCCTATCTCAGGCATAAACAAAACGACATCTTATTGAATGGGACCCCACTGGGTCATCCTCTTTTATCGTAAGTGAAATATGGTTTAAAGTT